TGTCCAGCAATCACTGTGCGAGGGGCGGGGTACACCCTGGACGGGTCGCAAGTCCATCACAGGGCCACATAGAGACAAACGAGACAAACAAACATTCACTCTCTCACTCACACCTAGGGACAATTTAGAGTTACCAATCAGCCTAACATGCATGTTTTTGGACTGTGGGAGGAAACCGGAGTACCCGGAGAAAACCCACGCATGCACGGAGAGAACATGCAAACTCCACCCAGAAAGGCCCCTGGACCGGGGTTTGAACCAAGGACCTGCTCGCTGAGAGGCAGCAGCTCTACCAGTTGCGCCACCGTGCTGCTATATATATATATATATTACATATACTTATACTACTATAACTACTTCATAGTTTTTCAGGGTATGGATCCACCACAGTAAACGAGGGACGACTATAACTCAATTCTAGATCAAAAGACTTGTGTAATGGAAACACTGGTCACTCTGTACTGGTGTGCTGGCTGGACCAAGTATAAGGTGCTTTGCTTGGGATTTTTTTGGATGAAAAGAAAAATCTGAGAATAATAAACAAATATGGGTTTTTATTCTAATAGATGTACATCTTATTTTTCTGTGATTGTGAGTTTTAACCCCACTAGGGTGTTTGTTGGTGTATAATTTATCCTTATACTGTGCGGGGTTCATGGAAACTAATGTAAAGAGGTTGAACAATCAACTATTTTTGTGCCTTTTTTTTACAATGCATACTGTCTACATTTAAAAACTTTGTATTAACACAAATCTCTTAAAAGAGTGACCCATATTCAACTATTCATTTTGTGATATATTTGCTATACTTAACATCAAGGGGGGCTTGAAGTGACCATGGGACTTTTAAGAATATATACCTTGTGCTTTCACAGTGTATAAAGTTTTTTTTACTCCTTGATGTCAAAGTTAGGTTTTGTACTCCTTGATGTAATACAATTAATGACCACAAATTGAGGAGACACTATTTGAATATTGGGGCTTCAAACACTGATTTTAGCTTTGTAAAGAAGTGTTTGCGTTGAAGTAACTAGCTAATGCTCGGTGTGTTGGTGTGTTCGGCCCGGTGGGGTAATTTTGATTGGCGGCTGCTCTGTGAGTGGGTGTGACAAGTCTGGGAGATAAATTTTGATTGGTGGCAGCTCTGTGGGAAGGAGAGCAGTACTGAGCTTGATTTGGGCAGCCATGACAGTGAGTAGGGGAGTCACACCATGTGAACGATGAGGAGGGTAACAGCGGGGACAAGGGAATTGGTGATGTAGAGAAGGAACGGTGCAGTGGTGAAGAGGCCGGTGACATGAGAGGGCTGGTGTGGAGAAGCCACAACAGCTCGTCATTGTTCTGACTTAGACGTTTTTTCTCAGTGTTCTCCTTCTCAACGGACTCTTGCAGGTTAGCATTCTCCTCTGACAGCTGCCTGTTGGGGGAAAAGTAGAGAGTTGGCAAATATTTGCATGAAAGAGGCAATGACATACTGTGATGCACAGTAATAATGTAGAAAAAATACTCAAGTAAACCAAAAACATCACAATAAATATAATTTATAAACGTTATTCCCTCATTGCTCTTTGATTTGACACAATGCAATGCAAAACAACATGGTTTCATGTGATGTGGTACAAAATGACACAGAGAGGCACATGATATAATACAATGCAACACAATATGGTTTGATTTGATATAATACAATAAATTACCCTCTTTTCCCATTGTTTTTCCCATTTATTTTATTTTTTCACCCAGAATCAGTGGTTCATTTGAGCCGGATCTTGCCGGAACAAGATCCGGGAACTCCCTCATTTTCACCGTGTGCGCTCCGGCAACTGTTCAGTCGGATCCGTCAGCTCATATCTCCGCCCATAAAAGTCAGAAGTCATCATGCATTTTAATTTTGATTATTTATTAAAAATACAATGAGAGGAGACGTTGTCCATGTCTGTGGAATGGATATACTGCTGCAGCAGACGCAGCAACCCACGGACACGCTTCTGCAGCGGAGACGCTGACCGCATGTCCCGCAGGGATGAAGCATCTTCATCCACCTTCAGGCTTGACAGAATTGGAGCAGCTGCTCACGGCTCTCTAAAATAGTAATTTCAGTTCAACCTTTATTTATACAGGTTGTTAGTCTCATTGAGCTTGGTCATTTACAAGAGAGACCTGTTTTTAATCAATTTAATCAAATGTTTACAGATGTTTAACAACCTGTTAAAATACACCAAAATGCAGGAAATTGCATCTGTTATTTCAAAATTTCTGGGGGAGGACCCATGGACCCCCCCCCCCCCAAAAACCCCCCCCCCCCCCCCCCCCCCCCGCACCCCCCCGGACCACCTGCTATTTGTGTTCTGGCATCAATTGTTTTACAAATTAAGCCTTGCCCAGAATACCCGTATTGACAGAGAACAACAAGCATTTCAATGTCCCTTGTCAACACTTGGCTAGCTGGGGCCCCATCCTGGAGCCAGGCCTGGGACACGTGCTCATTGGCACTTGCCAATGTGTCTGGTGACAGGATCTCTAACCATAGCATTTGGAAGGGTTCAGTAAGAATGATTTACTTGGGTACTGTGGTGCCAAACACCTGCAGGAGTGCCCATAAAAGTTAGATGCATAGTGCAATGGGTAGTACGCAAAGGCAGGGGCATTGGTGCTATGACACTGGGTTACCAAAGCTGGCTTCTTGAACATGGAATGTCACCTCTCCAGTGGGAAAGGAGCCTGAGCTTTATGTGAGATTGAGAGGTACCAAATAGATTTAATCAAGCTCACAATGACTCTCAATATGAGTTCTGGAACCAATCTTCTTGAAAGGAGCAGGTCCTTACTTTACTCCATTCTGGAGTTGTCCATCGTGAGACATGTCCAGTTAGTATGCAACTTATAACCTCCCAGCTTGGCATCAGTGCATTCAAATTTTCAAGGTCAAGGTGTCTTTATGGTAAATGGACTATAGCGCCTTTCTATCTTATGAAGACACAAAGCGCTTTACAACAATCTGTCCTCATGTACCCATTCATACAGCACTCTACTAGATCTCTACAAAGATAATTGAACAAATCATTCTAAAGAGACTAATTAGTGCTTTAGATCACATTCATACACTGATGGGACACACATCAGAGGTGATGGGGGGTTCAGTGTCTTGCCCAGGGACACTTCAGCAGGTGACTGCTGGTGGATTCGAACCCTCAACTCTCGTATTGGAAGACGACTGCTCTAACCACTCAGCCACAGCTGCCCCGTATTGTCATTCACATCACATATGGTACATGAGGTGGAACGAAACTATGTACACAGGGTCCCAGTTACACCCAGCAAAAATATAAATTATAAAGAAAAGTAATACGATCTAAGATATGAACTAAGAAATACGCTAAACTAAGAATATACTAGGCACTAATAGTACAAAACTATGCGCCAAACAAGTACTGGTAGATGAGAGTGTATCTTCCCTATACTTTTAGATGGGTGTACAGGTTCTGACAGTCATTTGTGCCTATGTGTCGAGTGGTAGTTTAGAGTACCAAACTTCCTCTGAGACTTGGCAGGGATGCTGGAAAGTGCTAAGTGCTCCAGCTGGAGACTGCTGGGGAAACCCAGTGTACAAATGGGTAGAGACAATGTGACCTGGAAGGACATGATTAGGATGAACGGCCTGTTTTGAACCCAAGTTCTGTTCTGTTGTTGGATTTCTGTGCTAATCATGGTTTGGCCATTACAAATACCAAGTTTAAATATGAGTGTAAATAAGTGCACATGGTGCCAGGACACCCCAAACTGCAGATCCAAGATAGAGTTTGTAGTCATGCTATCTGATCTGTGGACATATGTTTTGGATGGGAAGGTGAAAATAGGAGCTGAGCTGTCAACTGATTACCACCTGGTGATGAGTTAGATCAGATGGCAGAGGAACATGCCAGACAGACCTGGTAGACACAAATTTGTAATAAGTGTTGGCTCGGAATGCTTGGCATAAAAACCTGTCTGAATGAATGATCTTCAACTCACACCTTTCAGAGAACTTCAACTGCATCCCAGCAAAGGTGAGGGACATTGAATCCAAGTGAGCCATGTTCTATGCCTTCATTCTCTAGATGCTGCAAGGTTGTTGGTGCCTATTGTGGTGGCATGCTAAATCCCAGTAGTGGACCCCAGGTGAAGGAGGCCATCAAGCTGTTGAAGGAGTCCTGTTGGGCCTTGTTGGCTGGTAGGACTCTAGAGGCAGCTGAGGGGTACTGGTGAGCCAAATGGACTGCAGCCCTAGCTGTTATTGAGGCAAAAGCACAGATGTGGAAGTAGTTCATTGAGGCCTTGTGTGGGGACTCTCCATCAGCTCTGAGAAAATTCTACCAAATCATCAGTTAGCTGAGTCTGGAAAAGCAGCACTTAACCAACACTGTGTATAGTAGAAGTCGAGTGCTGTTGGTCTCAACCAGTGCAGTGGAAGGAATATATCTGAGACATTCTCCATCTTACCAACATGTCTTCCATGGAGGAAGCTGTCAGGGGACTTGGGGATTGTTCCGTTCATTAGCGGGACTGAAGTCACCAAGGAAGTTATACTGTAAAAGTTCCACAGTGTAGGAATTATGTGTGCAATGTTTCTGACTGTTTACAATGATTCTGAGTGTGAAAATTCCTTCATTCATTCAACCTTGATTTAGACAGGTTTATCATGTGATTTTTCTGTTCTGGTTAAGTTAGGCATTTATTACAATATCGTGTCGTCATTTCAGGAGGACTCTTGGATTCCCATAGATGTTGTCCTAGGCCATTCTCCCTCGACAATGTTTACGGATCTCATCAGAGGGAACTGTTTGATTATTCCATCCTTATCAGAACTCCTACAGTGCCCTCGAGAGCATCCTTGGACATGCAAGAACAAGACTGCAGATATAAGTGGTTGAAAAGAGTTTTCATTGCAGGGTAGCTAGACTCTCCCATAGAGAGGTGAGAAGTTCAGTGTTCTGGGAGCAACTTGAAGTACAGCCACTGCTCTTCCACATCGAGTGGGACCAGTTGAAGTTGTTTGGGCATTTTGTCGCCACCTGGACACTTCCCCAGGGAGTTTTTCTAACCATGTTTAATGATGAACGGTTTCTTTTCACAAAGATGGCCTCCTTTACTCCTCTCTCAAACCATTGTTCCTCTCTGTCCAGGATGTGCACATCTTCATCCCTGAAAGAGTGACCGCTGGCCTGGAGATGAGTGTAGACCGCAGAGTCCTGGCCTGATGATGTTGATCTTCTGTGCTGGTCCATCCTTTTGGCCAGTGGCTGTTTAGTTTCCCCAATGTAGAACTGATCATAGCCCTCCTGACACTGAACTGCATATATGATATTACTCTGTTTGTGCCGGTGGACTGGATCTTTGGGATGGACCAGTCTTTGCAGTAATGTATTTTGGGGTTTGAAAGCCACTGGGACGTCATGTTCATGTAATCATAATGTTGATTTTTGTTCATATGTTACAGAGTTTTAACTGCTTAATTTAATGCATCGCACTCAACCATCCATCCATTATCTTTACCCGTTTGTTCCATTTTGGGTCACGGGAGTCGCCGGTGCCCATGTCCAGCAATCACTGTGCGAGGGGCGGGATACGCACGGAGAGAACATGCAAACTTCACCCAGAAAGGCCCCTGGACCGGGGTTTGAACCAGGGACCTGCTTGCTGAGAGGCAGCAGCTCTACCAGTTGTGCCACCGTGCTGCCCCGCACTCAACCAATGGGGTAAAATGTGTAGTAGAGCCAAAATTACTGTCCCATATTTCTTTAAAGCAGATTCTCCTGCAAACGATATTCAGATAATTAATTTATATATAGTGGACCTAAAACCTCATTCTTAATCATAATCAATCCAATAAAAACAACTGTTAAAAGGTGAAGATAGGAATATCTTTTTTTTTTTGGTTGTCTAACACTAGACAATGCACACACAATTGCAATTATGATTCACATTAGATAGGGTTATAGATTGAAAGTATCGTGATCTGACTGTACGTGCTTGAACCCATGTGCAGGAAGATGCTGAGAGACTCCAGTAAAACAAGTAAAACTATGTATTTAATAAATAAAACAAAATGCTGATGTGCAGCTAACTTACGTACTTTAAGGAGGACACACAGGGAGACAGATCACAAAGCCTGATGAAGGACAACTCAGAGACACTGACAAGAAACCAATGAGCTGAGTAAAAGCAGCCACTAATGAGGGTGAAAAGACAGGCACCTGTGATTGAGCACAGGTGAGACAGAGCTGGAACACAGGGTGGAGGAACACTGAGGGGTGACTGGCAAACACAAGGACACACTATAGACAGGACCAGACCCCAGAAACCCTACAGAAAGTACTTTATAAAGATTAAATTTGTTATTTGTACCAAACTGTATAACCTGCGCTTCTAACCCTGGGTGGAGCCTCCGTGTTCAACTGTCCCCCTCTTACAATGCTGTTATTGCTAGTATCACTCAACCCCCTGTGAATAGTAAGTGACCATCAGTGCACTAATGACCCATTGTTAGGCTGATGGTCCTCCTTTATCATGTGAACAGCCAGTTGTGGTTGTCAACAACAAACGGGTTGATCCACTCTGAGAAGGTGCTATTTAAGAGACTGAGTTTATTACAGCTCCTCAGACTGAAGAAGTCTTTTGGATTAAAGACGAAATGTTTCAACAACTATTTTTATTTTTATGAATCCGTCCAGCGGACCTGACGTTTCTACTTGGATTACTGAGCGTGCATCAGGATATTATGATTACTGTTCATATTGTTTTTACCTGGACGTGGCAAGGTTCATGTCAATACGAGCCATCAGATCTTCATTTTGCTGCTGAAGAACCTGGACCTTCTCCTCAAGAAACATGTTCTTTTGGGTCTGCTCAAAAAGAAAACACAACAGTAATGCAACAGTTTATTCACAGCGTACTGACCGCGTGTACAGAAAAGCTTGTGTATATTTGTGTATTTGGCACTGAACATTGTGACTTGTTTGAGCTTACCACTTTCTCCAGGTCCGAAATCTTTTTCTCCTGCTGGTGAATCTGCTGGTTCTTCATTTCAACAACCTCCTTTAGGCTCTTCAGATCTTGTTCAATGTGCTGGTAAGGGACTAAAGCATCCTGGTTTCAACATCACATTCCCATGAAAAAAAAACAGAATAACAAACCAGAGACATCAGTGAAAATAATACAGTGGCAGAGATATAAAGTCAGTTTGTAATCAGTCCACTAATCCTGCGCACACTGACAGGATGACAACTGTTTCAGCAGCTTAAATTATGTTAAATGTGGTTTTCATGCTGATTAGTGAAATCCCATGTTTTGTACTTACAATGATTTGTTCATCTGAGCTTCTTTTCAACGCTTCTTCAAAGCATTTGACTTTGTCCTTCAGACTCTCATTTTGAAATGTGAGAGTATCCACTTGATCCTGAGCAAACAAATGCAACACAAAACTCAACATCATGAATCCAAAAGTCCACATATTCACACGTACCTAGTCCTTTTATCCAAAGCACAGTACCTGTAGAGAAAGTCGTTGTTTCTGAAAGTCCTCCTCTAGAAGACTTTTTTGTTGCTCATGAGCTTTCCTCAAATCTGCTCAGAGATGCAGGAGAATAGCAAAAGTCTTTATTTAATTTCCAGCCGTGTCCACATTCTAATTTAGTTTTTAAAGCAAAGTTTTCCACGGTACCTCTCATGGTGCGGGTGTGCTCTTCATGCAGTGTTGCCATGGTGATATCATGCATGTCTCTGAGCTCTTCAATGGCTGCCTGGTGGTTGGCTGTCATTTCCTCCATCTAACAATTCCACAAAAAATGCCCACACAATAAAACCTTCTGGTGATAGCTCAAATGTGTCATGAAAGAGGGGGAGGGGCTTCCACCTCACCTGCTCTTGTTGGTGACTTGTCCGCTCTTCCATCTTTGTTCGTTGCTCCACTTTTAGGTGCTCGATGTCGGCTGTGTGACACTTCCTGAGCTTTTCTTCCAAAGCAGCCAGCTCTGCCTCCTGCTGCAGCTGGAGATCCTGCAGTTGGTGCTCAAACGTTACATCCAGCGCTGCTTTGTTCTGCTCAAGTCTCTCCCCTTGCAAAGCCTGGGAGGCTGTGAACCAAGAACAATGAATCTTACGTGTGTGAGTTCGAACTGTAAACCATTGACTTCAGAGGGAAGAGTTTAGTTGAAGCAATGATGAACATCCTTAGTACACTTTTTAGTACTAGCAAAAGTAATGATGAAACAAAAAGTACATGAGGTCATTTTTCTGTTTCTCCTCACTTACTCATATCCTGTCTCATCTTTAGGATCTCCAGGGACAGTTTTCTTTGACATTCCTCAGCTGTTTCATTCTGAAAAAAATAGAAATTAACATATTTCTGACATTTCAAATACATTTATTTGCAATTTATTTTGTTAAAAATATTTACAACAGTGCTGGGTGGTGCATGTAGATTGAATTGAAGCTCTTTGAGAGAATCTGTGAGGCCTCATTTTACTTTTTATGTTATTATGATTCATGATAATAAGCTTATGACTCTTGGTCCTATAAAAATGATAGATGCAGTGATGCACAGTTATGACATGCTTGTTAAACAGAAAGAAACCTGAATGGATGTGCTGAAGGAAAACACTGTGTAGAAGATTCCAGTTGGCTTTGAGTCTGTCTGCCTTGATGTCAGCAGAGGACGCTCAAACCCGCATGGCCAACACTTCCACCTCGTGCATTTCTGCACAGTGTTGTCAGGGTTGGCACAGCTCAGACAGTAACCATAAAGAAGTCAGATAGTTCCTCGATAGACTGGCTCACACTGTGTCAAATGACAGTTCTGACTTTTAATCTACACCTCATTTTCACACCAACAGACATGTAGGGGAATAAATGTACAGGGTATTGGACTTCTGGTCCGGTCCAACTCCTTTAACAGGTTTTACTCTGGACCGGCCTCACCTCAAACATGTATAAACCATGAGTCCTTGTAGCGAACTTAATTCCTGTCCCTTGAAGAAAACACGAAGAATCCGTAATTTAAATACAGTTCTGTAATGTTTATTTTCAGTTTGAATTATGACACGAAAATTATGGCAAATGTTGAATATGAATAAACAACCAATAATATTTTAGAAAGTAAATTAATCTGAGGACTTTGAGAAGGAGATTTGATTAAATTTGGACTAAGGTTTATATCTATAAGGGATTAACCTGTCTAAATAAAGGTTGAATTAATTTGAACTCAGTTTCCTTCAAAGCATTAGTTTGTGTTAGACAACACCGTTCTGGGGCGCTCTAGTGTGAATGCAGGTGTGTGGCCCTTTGTGACAATCAGTGCATGGAGAAGAGTAGACGTGCACCGTGAGTGGCAGCCTCAGTAAAACTGTCAACTATTAGAGCCTAGCATCCTCGTGTGGTAAACGGCGCAGTGGACTGAGGGGGTTATTTTGCAGAGATGTTTTTAGATCCTCTGGTTGTTTAGTTTCCATTGGAAGTCTCTGTTGGGATTTGAGTTGAGTTGACACAATACTGTTTTGATGCTCCTCAATTTAGATTATACATTCAGTCTTTCTATGTTATGAATTAGATTGTAGCGTATTATTTTGTAATCTTCGAATGCATCATCAGGGCATTAACAAGCAAGTGTGATGGTCCTCCTTCAGGATGTCACCAACACACTGCTTGATCCACTTTCAGAAGGTGCTTTTTATAAGACGGAGTTTATTACGCTCCTCACACAGAAGAAGTATTTTTGATAAAAGACAAAATGTTTCTACAATTGTATTATTTTTAAATTATTTTATATATATATATACGTCCAGAGGACCTGACTGAACTTATTTAGATTTTTGTACCTGTTTTATTGGGTATGCAACAGGTACATTAAACAATCCATCACAGCCACAAAAGTGGCTGAGACTTGGTCCATTTGCAGAAATATTGTACTAACATTTATTTTGGTAGAAGAAGAGAGTAATTTACAACTTATACTCAGAGCATGACATCTTGCAGTACTGCATGAAATACTGGCCACCTTGAGGCAATAATGCTGAGAGACGATGATGAAGGCATCAAGACCCAAAGACATATTCTTCAGCTGGTCTGTCAGAATCTTCAGCTGCCTCTCCTGCCGTTCACCGTGTCCCTGCAGCCGCTGAACCCAAGTGATAAAACACACAGTAGAATAAAACCAAAGGGTCTAAGTCTAACTTCAATTATTGTGTCAGAATTTCCTATTGACTCACCTCCTGTCTCTGCTCCACCTTTTCTCTCTCCTCTGCTTGGATTCCCTTCTCTTTCTGCTCAGCCGCCTCTTTCTCCCTCTGCTGGTTATTCTGGTGATCTTGCTGCAGCTTCAGTGGGGCCCCGTGGTGAGAAGAAACTGGAGTGGAACCTTGCACTGCTGCTGCAGCTCGCAGACCAGGCCAGACTGTGGGAAGAAGAGAAGTAAAAAGAAAAATTAATTTGGGGACGAAGCAGAAAAAAACATGTTTTTTGACTTTGTTTTGTTTACGATTCATATATATGGATTCAAATACCCCACAAATGATATTAATAAGCCAAGATCTAATTTTTAAATCTATAATAATGATTGTTAGAGACTGATTTGCATTAAAAATTTTGACCTGACTTACTGCTAATGATTGTTCACATGATAAATGACAGTAAGTTAATTTAATTTCATGATCTTGTTCCTAAGCTAGTGTTTCTCCTGATGTACAATGGAAGCTCAATGAATGCAACGTGTATAAAAAAGATTGTATAAGTATGTATATGTGTGTAAATGTATGTAGCCCCTTGTTTATCGCGGGGGTTCCATTCCCCGTCACCCGGCGACAAGTGAAAAACTGTGAAATAGGAATAGTAGTAAAAGTAGTAGTAAGTACTAGTTTATTTTAGTATTTATATGTACCTGTATATTAAGATGTTTTAAACCGTTCCCACACTCTTGCAATATTCTAAACAATGTTTCTAAACTCTAAACGCTCTAAAAGAGAGAGCATGTCATGATCTCCACTCTTTGCCACCTGCCAGCACTATCTGCCACGACCACGCTGCACACAGGTGCAGCAGCTGCTAAATTATTTTCAATAATTTATTTTCAATAAACAATTGATGCTGCTCGTGTGGCTCATGCATCAATCAGCCAATTGTGTGTCATGTCCAATTTTACTTTGAAAGACCGCAAAAGAGCGAGTCCACAAAAGTTGAACCGGGAAGTAGTGAGGGACTACTGTATGTACTGTAAATATCTGGGAACTGTTCTTGATGACAAACTGACCTTTGACCCCCATGTGAACTCACTTTGTAAGAAGGCCCACCAGAGAATGTTTTTTTATCGGAAGCTCCATGGATTGAATGTTGATTCTACTTTTATGAGAACGTTTTATTCATGTTTTATTGAGTCTCTTTTAAGTTTCATTTGCATCTGTTGGTTTTTACTTCTCACATGCAAAAACAGGAACAAGCTCTTGGGGATTGTGAGGATGTGCAGCAGAACTGCTGGCACATGCCCTACAGAGCCTCACTGACCTGCACAAGACAAGGTCAGTGAACAAGGTCAGGCTGATTCTGGCAGATCCTGATCACCCATTCCATGGTGAGTTCAGGTTGCTTCCATCTGGACGCAGGTACAGTATGTGCTACAGACGTAGGACAAACAGACTGAAAAACTCCTTTATGCCTGTAGTGATCAGGCTTCTCAACGAACAATGATGATTTCATGTATTTTAATGTTTTAATGTCTTGTCTATTATGGATGTTTTGTGTGCCTACTGACTGTAAAACAAATAACCCTTGGAGATAGTAAAGATTCTTGAACTTAATTCTGAATGCCAAGAAACGCCTTGTAGCTGCAATTTTCCTACTGGCTGTTGCTTATGGTGACATTATTTACATGAACGCTCCTGCCAGCTCAGAGTCACAGTCAGAGATTCTTTATTGTCATTCGCACCTCATGTGGTACATGTGGTGGTGCGAAATTATGTACACAGGGTCCCAGTTACATCCAACAATAAAATGTCTAAGAAAAACAGTAATAACATCTAAGATATGAACTAAGAAAAACATCAACTAAAAATACACTAAGCACTCATAACATAAAACATTGAACATCAGCACAAACATGAACATGAGTCTGTGAGCAGATGAGCACACATGAACACATCAACATGAAACAGATCAGCAGCAACATGAAACAGATCAGCAGCAACATGAAACAGATCAGCAGCAACATGAAACAGATCAGCAGCAACATGATATGGTTTTTCACAGTGATTATTCTGGTTAGAGATTCATGAGTCTAACAGCCTCAGGGTAGAAGCTGTTCCTCAGTCTAGTGGTTCTACACTTAATGCTCCTTAACCTCCTTCCTGAGGGGCACGGGGCAAAAAGTGTGTGTGCTGGGTGGGTGTGGTCCTTCATGATGCAGGTGGCCCTCTTCTTGCATCTGGAGGTGTAGATGTCTGTGATGGTGGGGAGACTGATTCCAACATCTTCTGTGCAGCCTTCACCACTCTCTGCAAAGCTTTTCTTTCTGCAGCTGTGCAGCCTCCATGCCACACGTTGATGCTGGAGCACAGGATGCTCTCCACTGCACACCTGTAGAAGGAGGTGAGGACTGAGCTTCCAGACCAGCTCGTCTCAGCCGCCTGAGGAAGTAGGTGTCGCAACCATTATATGTGAAGGGGACAAGTCCCCCCCACTTTAAAAAAATGTTCATTTGGACCCCCCCCCCACTTTTACTATGAAACATTAGTTCAGGCGGCGCAGTTTCTCTTTCTTCGTGAACAAATCCATTCCACGTGATTAATAGGAGAATACTCAGGCCACTAAAACGCCACTCCAGGTTTTCCAGGTTACCTCCACCTCTACACACAGAGCAGAAACTGTGCAGGCAGCAGCAGCTGAGCCTCCTGCTTCAGCAGAAAAAGCACACAGGTGGAGGAGATGGAGACACTTCTGTGTTGCTCGCTCACCAGTTTAGCAGCTTAGTGGGGGCAGTTGTTGACCGGGGGGTGGGGGGGTGGGGGGGGGGGGGGGGGGGGGGGTGTTGATCATAAACATGTATTCATGTTAGGAGGATGCTTGACAGAAGCGCTATGTCTGTAGCATGTTAGCTTAGCAGTAAGTATGACGCTGTGAGACTCTGCAGGTGTAAGAGACTCTGTGTGTTCAGGTGCATTAAAGTAGAAATGTGTTTAAACCCCACACCTTATTGTCCTCAAGCTTCATGAGAAACCTCCTTTAGATGAGGAGTGTTGAACACAAGTAAAAAAGTCCAGTGGTGATGGTTTTTATTTCTCTATAAAGACAAATAGTGCTGATGTTGTGTTAAAGTGTATTAAAGTTAAAATGTCTTTAAAACCTACAGATTAATTTACACAAACTTGGTGAGAAACATGTTTTAAATGTGTGGAATTAAAGGAAATCTAGGTGAAATGTTGCTTTTTGTACATTAGTGTACATTTTACGCGGGCGCACGCACACACACCTACACACATCATTGTGCCCCCCCCCCCCACACACACACACACATTACGGATGTTTCTGACGCCCTTGGCCTTGATGAACAGGTTGTTTTGAAGAAGCCTGATAAGAACAGATCTGACATGTTTGTGATGTGAAGTAATGTCTTTGGAGAAGATGAGAATGTCGTCTAGATAAACAAAAACAAAATGGTTGACCATATCTCTGAGAACGTCATTGACAAGTGCTTGAAAAACAGCAGAAGCATTGGTTCGGCCGAAAGGCATTACCAGGTATTTGTAATGTCTGTTGGGGTGTTGAATGCCGTCTTCCATTCATCCCCCTCTCTGATGCGAACCAGGTGGTGCATGTTTCTTAAATCCAGCTTGGTAAATAGCTCCCCGAATAAGGTTGAACACGGGTAAAGGGTATTTGTTCTTAGTTGTGATCTTGTTAAGACCTCTATAATCAATGCATGGCCTAAGAGAGCCATCTTTCTTACCCACAAAGAAAGAAATAAATCCTGCCCCAGCAGGAGTTGCTGATGGCTGGATAATGCCGGCTTGAAGTGACTCTTTAATGTACTCTTGCATGGTGG